TGTATTTTCTATAAATTTCAATTTTGAATTCATAATAATGGACGCCATTATAATTAAAAATAGAATATGATTTAAGAACTGATATTTAGTTAGGAGTTAAGATAAATAATTGTCAATGTGTTTACAGAAATGAAAGAAAATTAATAATGCAATAAATTGTATTTTCTATAAATTTCAATTTTGAATTCATAATAATGTGGACGCCATTTTGAAATAGAATTATAAATGATTTCAACCTGTATAATATCAACCAATAAGACACCAGTTAATTATTATTTCATATTTTTGTTTACATTAAACATTTTGTTGAGAATCTATGCTTATAAAAGATTAATGTTGTTTATTTATGCTTGTAAAATATGTTGGTAATGTTTGGTGGGGGAAAAAAAAATGGAGACACCTTGTATGTATATATATATGTTACCATTGTGAAGTGTATAATTCAATTAATTCATGAAATAACTAGGTGTATTTTACAAAAAATGTATATATATATATATATAAAAAGAATTTTATATTATACACTTTAACTCGTTGTTTTATGAAATTTACAGTAATATATGAATTTACGTGAAGAGACGAATAATTAAAGCGTGAAATTAAATCATATTATTTTCAAAATCTTCTTGTTTCGTTAGTTTTATACTTCCAAGTATTTTTTATGTTGATAAAACTCATATAATTAATTTTATTCTGTAAATTAATAAAAAAATATTTTATCTCAAGAACAATGAAGAAGACCTTTGAAATAATAAAATGAAGAAATTAACACATACTTTATGTTCATGAATTTTACAAAAGTATAAATCTGAAATACAATCGTAAATAATTTCATTGAAACAAATTGAAAAATATTTTGATTTATATTTCAAAACAAATTTCAATTGTATACTTTAATTATTACGCATTTCGTGAAAATTCATATATTATATTAATTAAAATAAACAATTATGTCTTATTTCATATCTTAACTGATATAAATATAATTATTTTATATAATAACTAGTTATTTTATAAATTAACGAATTATACGTTTTAACAGTAACATATATATGAACGAGTGAGAAAATTTATGCATCAGTCTCTTTATACACAAGCTGTGAAAATTTCTAAAAAAAAAAAAAAAAAAAAAAATGAAAATAATATTAATAATAATCATCATCATCATCATTATCATAATAATAATAATAATAATAATAATAGTAATAGTAATAATAATAACTAATAACTAGGAACACGAATGAATTTGTTTTCAAAAAACCGATTATAGATATTATACAAAAAAAAAAAAAATATTTCTCCAATAAAAAAATTAATTTAATTAATCGTCAGAAATAAAAATATTAACAATCGTTAGAGAGAGTGCTTTAATAATATTTTTGAAAACGATGAAGCACAGTGGAAAACACACACGGTGACTTATTTTTCTTGTTTTATTACAATACGTTAAAAATAAAAGAAAGAAAGAAAAAAAAAACTGAAACTTAAGTAATTATAGTGATGACACGAACTATAAAATGTACAGCGTTTGATAATTAAAAATGTCGATGAAAATAATGAATGTTATAAATGTTGTTATCGTTGTGATTAGAGAACTTTGTTTGTTTTTAGTTTTATTTTGTCTGTTTTTCTTGCATTCTTCTCGTTTATTCATACAAGCTCGTACTTGATTTCAAATCCTTAAACAAATGTAATATTATTATTATTATTACTATTATTATTATTAATATTTTTTCTTGGCATATTTATTTGTTTTTTTGTTTTTTTTTTTCAAATTCCCATACACACGACGAACATACCAATTAACAAACAATCATTCGTACTTTTTCTTCTTTTTTGTTTTGTTTCTAACCTATATAAATCTTTCTCTCTCTCTCTTTCTCATTGTCCGTTCAAAATTGATTTAATTCAAGAATGATTTAAGTTCAATAATGATATTATGAATGTTTTCCTATTTTTATAGAAATCATTTTTAATCGAACATGATTGTTTTTTTTATTTTCTTCTTTTTAGAACAGACCTTTTTTTGGAATTCGCATTAGTATACTTTTTACATCATATAAAAAAGATCTTCGATCACAATTTGTCGTCGTCCGTTTAGTTTAATTTAAATATTTTAAATGCGAAAACAAAATATAAACAAAAACAAAAATTAATAAATAAAACAAAACAAAACAAAAAATAAAATGCAAAATATAGGAAAAAAATTTAATTGTCACTGTCGGTAATATATCGACGGAGAAGCGTTATGCTTAAAATACGAATTTATCATATATTTTGGTTTTTACGATGAATATTGAATGAATATTTCGTTAGTGTAAGAGTTTTTTTTTTTTTATCAATTATATCAAAGTGTTATTATATTATATATATATAAATGACATTGAGAGTTATTAGAATATTAAATATGATATTAAATAAGGAAGTAGATAGAAGAGGGGAGGGGGGAAATATTTGATCTATTTATGAAACATATATTTTTGTTCGCATAATAGCACAACGCTTCTGAAATTTGATATTATACCGTTTTTTTTTTTTTTTTAATTAAAAATTCGTGCAATTATTTTGCAAAAAAAAAAAAGAAAAAAATTTCAATCATTCGCATAATTTTTTACAAACGAATATAATCTCGACAAGTGGAATGATGAATTGTCAAATTTAATTTGAAAAAAAAAAAAAAAAAAATGGTTATACTTGAAATGCTATAATTTAATTAATGTAAATCATTTTCAAAATACATTTTTTTTTATTTTTTTTTAGAGAGAATTGATCGATAGATTAATCAATCGCTAAAAAAAAAAAAAAAGATAGTCATTGGAAAATTATCAAGAATGTGAATAATATTATTAGAATAATCTCGAGAACACATTGTGTTTATTCGTAAGAATTATTTAAACGTTTACGTGTGTTTGTGTTTTTCTACGCAATATTAAATAATTTTTTTTCTTTTTTTCTTTCTTTCTTTCTTCTTTCGAAAGTAGCCGTAAAATATACATATATATATATATATATATATATATATATATATATATATATATNTATATATATATATATATATATATATATATAGTAGCCTATATCTTAAAAATAAATTATATAGGGAAAAAAATTGGAAATAAAAGAGAAGTTATTAAATATATATATATATATACGTTTTACGTACGTTAAATGGCAGTAACAACATTTTGTTTCTTCTCTTGGTTTAATTAATTGTTTTCTTTTTTTTTTTAATCTTATTTAAGTCATTCCTAGCCGAAATTCATTTATCCTAGCATTAAATTAATTAATTAATTAATTAATTATCTTCATTAGCAAATAATCGAGACCGTCGGAATAAAAAATTGTTCTAATTACTAAGCCTCCGTATAGATAGCAGCAGCATCGGCGGTATCGAAAATTCAGTTCTCTTCTTTACCGATATGAACATTTTTTTTTTTTTAATTCTCATCTCAATTTATTTATTGATCTTAAATTATCTATCTTCTTTTATTTATTTATTTATTTTTTTAAACCTATTTTTTCACAAACGTTCCAATAATGTTATTGTTCATATGTGAACGCACATTTTTGCATTACGTGAATATAGGAGAAGAAAAATAAAATAATAAAAATAAAAATAGAAAAAATAAAATAAAATAAACAAATATGTAATAAAATTAATGAATTAATGTTGAGATTAATTATTCGTTGTGACGCGTACTTATTTTCTTTTTTTTTTTTCTTTTCAAAGATCAATCGTTTGTCACTCAGATTTTATTTAAGATTGTTTTTTTTTTTTTTTTATTTTCTTTTGCAAATAATGTGTGAAGCAAATGAATGAAAGAAAAAAAACAACAAAACGAATGAAAAAAACAAAAAGAAAAAAATTAACTTGAAAAATCTGACGCATAAAATATCTATATATATATATATATATAATATTGTTACATGTAATTGTTATTAAAAAAAAAAAAAATAATAATAACTTATTAGCGTTTGGCAGTGTCCATCATTTTTTTTTTTTTATATCCGTCCAACGTTTTTGTTTTTATACATATATATATATATATATATATATTTCTAAGGATGAGAAACAATATTTAATATTGTTGTATATCATACGTTTGTTTTTTGTTTGCGTCTGTTTAAAGAAAAGTTTACTTAAAAAAAAAAAAAAAAGAAAAAAAAAACATAATTTATGTAAATATTACATAAGATCACGTTTAGAGGTTAACTTTTCTTGTTGTTTATAACCTAAAAAAGAATTTCAATATTCTAAATATTATGATAATATTATAACAATTGTATGCGACACGTTGATGATGATGATGATGATGATGATGAGATGATGATGATGATGACGATTGATAACGATGATGATAATAGAACGGCAACAAATCAATATGATTAGATATATTAAAGTGATAAACATAATATACGTGTGTGTGACTTAAATCATTTCCTAAAAAGTACAGAAAAAAAAAAAAAAGAAAAAAAGAAAAAAAGATAAGAAGAACAAAAAAATTTTGTCAATTTCGATACGTCAGTGAAAATTTGTTTTTGAAATATCAAAAGATTTATGTTTAATTTCAAATAAAAACAAGAATAAAAAGAGAAATGAGTGTGATAAAAATAAACTGTTAGAAAAAATGAATGAATCGAATTAGAATGAAAAAAAAAAAAAAACAAAAAAAATGATATCACTGACATATTGAAATAAACAATATTATTTTTGTTATATGACAATTACGAGCCTCTCTGTGTAAACGAAAGTGCAAAGTAAATTGCATCCCAATGCTATTATACTTGTAATAAATTCACAATCGCATTAAATTATGAAAACCTATCACTTATCAAATGTAAGCGATTGAAATATAAAAAAAAGTTATCATTCGCTAACGCTTAAATAAGAAAAAGGTTTTCTCGATATCTATAATATACAACTTTTACAGTCGTTTTTTAATTAACCAGTCTAAAAAGAATTCACCGGTTTTTAATGATGACGACAAAGATGATGATGGTATCTGCAAAATCTGATGATACTATTTGTTAATGTGAATAGTTTGGTTACTTTTCATTTCATATCATATCATATCATTTCATATCATTTCATTTCATTTCAATCGTATATATTCGATCACAGTATAAATAATCCCCTACTGAAAATTGTTTAAATATTTGTTTTTTTTTGTTTTTTTTTTTTTTTTTTACGTAGATTATTTACCACACATTTATGTATCATAATAAAAAATAGGAATGCTTATTATATCTGCGAGAAATATTCTTGTGTAAACGTTAAAAAATTAAATTAAATAATAATAAAAAAAAAACTAAAAAAAAAAAAAAAATAAAAAGGTAGTCAGCAAAAGAAAATGAGTGATCGATACATGTATGTGGATATGTATGGATTTAAAATTGTACGTAGTTATAAAGTGTGATCCTTATTTTTTTTTTTTGAAATTATAATATAATCTCATGTTAATTAAATTGTTGTCGATATTGGCTT